GGAACTCACTTGGTAGCCCAGGCTGGCCTTGAACTCACAGAGATCTGCCTGGCTCTGCCTCCCGAGTGCTGGGATTAAAGGCGTGCAACACCAGTGCCCTGCTGAAGAGCAACATGTGCTGAGCCATCTCTCCATCCTTCCCTCCTTTTAGAAAATGTGGGTTCTGGGGACTGACCTCAGGTCCTCATCTTGCCTGGAAAACATGCTACTGACCGGCCTGCCACTCCAGTCTCTCGAAGCAGTTTTGAAAGGTTGGTCCTGTTCTGCCATTCCTTCCTCACTCAGGCTTGCTGGTTCCAGTGCAGAGAAACTAGAGATGGAGCCCTGTCCACTGGCGTCTCCGGACACATGATCTGTCTACACAGTCACATCACCCACCACTCCCCCGTGGCCATCATGTGGCACCATTCAGACTTCCCTTCACTTTCTGGCTGTGCCATCTCTACTGCAGCCCAGGAAGCAGCCACCTCCCACTGTCATGACTAGACAAGCCTCCTTGGCCAGTCTGTGACAGATCTCTGATGTAAAGGCATGTCCACAAGGCCCCAAAGTTAGGGCTCTTAAATATCTTTATTTATTTTCTTTTGAGTTAAGGTTTCGTGTATCCTAAACTGGCCTTGAATTCACTATCTAGCAGAGGATGACATTGAACTTCTGGGATCCTCCTGCTTTGACCTCTTGAGTGCTGTGATTGCACACTTGTGCCACTGGGTGGTGGCATCACCAGTTTTATACAGTGCCGGGGATCGAACCCAGGGCCTCATGCATGCTAGGCAAGCACTCTACCAACTGAGCTACATCCACATCCCCCGGCTTCCCACTTTTGATTTTTTTTTTTTTTTTTGATTAAGGGTGGACAGTGGTGGTGCACACGTTTAATCCCAGCATTCAGGAGGCAGAGGCAGGTGAATCTCCGAGTTAGAAGCCAGCCTGGTTTACAAATCAAGTTCCAAAACAGCTAGGGTTATACAGAGAAACTGTCTCAAAAAACAAAAGTCCAACCAACCTAACAAAAAAGGATTAAAAAAAAAACATGTCATCAAAAGGAAGATTTTTGAAAGGCGCTCAGAGAACCTCTAGCACAGCCCACGAGGTGCTATCAAAGTGGTTAGCGGTGTGGCCTTGGAGGCAGGCGAACCTGCTTCAAATAGTGGCTGCTTCCTTGACTAGCTGCGTGACCCCAGATAAGGCAGGCAGTCTCTCCGGGCCTCAGTTCCTTCACCCATGGGGAGGATCTGAGCTTTTCCACTCGCATGTAGTAAGGTTTAGATGTGCTAATATGTGGGGAATGATCAAAATGGCTTCTGGTACCCAGCAAATCCCAAGTCGGCCTGCTGTTATCGTCAACTGTGAGGCTCTTGCTTGAATGCCCCTATTAGATGGTAGGTACCCTTCCATTAAGCTGGACTCTATTGGCCTGTCTCTTCTTGGCTCTGCACTCCAAGATCAGCCATCGAGATGCACCAACCAAGGTGAAACCATGCATGCTTGATGGTGTGACATCTTACATGCTCCATTTAGCCCTTTTATGGGGGGGGACCTGTAGCCCAGAGCATAAATATCTGAACTGATTCAGATCTACAAAAGAGGAGGATGTTGCCCTCCTGCCTAAGGCAGCCATTACTTTGCAAAACCATTGAGCTGAACCAAGTGGTGGCAGAGCTCACCGCTGCAGTCCCAGCACTCTGCAGAGGATTTCCCGGCGGGAAGGGAACGGACTCTTGAGTTAAAGCTGAATTTGGAGCCAAGATCCACCTCTTCCTGCCTGTGAGACTGCAGTTGGCTTCCCTGTTTGTAAAGTAGGCTTATTAACAATAATTCCTGGCTGGTAGGACTGGAGCAAAAATTGATGAGATGTAGTGGGCAGAGGACTGGGAGTGTAACTCACTTGTTAAAGCGCTTGCCCAGCATCCACAAAGCCCTGGGTTAAAACCCTAGCACTGTATCAGCTGAGTAAGTAGCCAATGCCTGTGATCCAGCACTTGGGAAGTAGAGACAGCAGGGACACAGATTCAAGGCCACCAGTGGCTACATAGCAAGTCAACATGAAGCCCGGTCTCAAAAGTAAAACGCCAGGAGATGTTTCCTAGGTTGGTGCCTGCTGTGGACTGCAAAAATATGAAGCAGGAATTCAGCTGACTATAGCAAAAGCTAGTACCTGGAAGAAGCAGGTCTCTTCCAGAGGAAAAAGCCAAGCCTCAAGGAGTCTCAGTGATACTAGCTTTTAAATATATATTAGCCAGTTCCTGCAATGATTTTCTCGTGTGCTTTTCCAATTAATTCTTCTAAGAACTTCTAACAGTGTATTTTATTCGAGTTACCTCTCAAATATCCAAAGACAAATTACAGACAGAATAAGCATTCCAGACTACCTGCTAGTCTCTTGAATTAAGGTAAATATCTATATACGGAGACACCACCTAGGCCAATTGGATAAGGCGGACATTAGGTACATAGCTTTGTTTCTTGTGCAAATTAAGCTCAGACCCTCCTTTCTTCCTCAGGCCAAATGGCATCCCCAGAGTTCCCCTAATACAATTAGCTCAGAATGAAGGGCTTTTTTCTTACCAGGTGCATTCAAGCAGGTTTCCTAGCTACTGAGAAGACTCACCCGACCCGACCTGAAGCAGCAGGGCAGAGGATGTATGTGTAGGGACATGGGTTATGGGAAGAGGAGAAGAAGGAACAAAGATAGAGATATGAATGAAGACGAAGATGAGAATGAGATGGAGAGAACTTGATAGAACTATGAGAGGACAGGAGGAGAAGGAACAGAGAGGAGCTAAGTATGAGAACAGAATTGAAGCTGTATAGATAGAATTTTGTCTTAGAAGACTAAAGTGAATGGACTAAAGAGTTTCCTTTAAGTAGATTCATTGATTCCCCTTAGATTAGTATCCCCACTGTTTGCAGCATCTTCTCCAGGACTCTGGGAGAAATCTCCTCAGGGCAGGCACCTGAGGAGGTTTCCATAAGTGCCTAGCACAGAGACAGTAGTTAATAAATAGGAACAATTATGGGAAGAATGTGGGTGATGTGGGTCCTGGATTTTCAACCTCAATTGAAAGGATTGTTAGCTTCTCTGTAGAAGTGGGAAAAACCTAGGTACACAGAGGGGCCCAAGTCACATAATTTGGTTGCAAGGACTTTCATCCATGTGGGCAGCCCTTAGGCTTCAGCTACTCGTGAGATCCAGGCCTATCGAGTTTGTTCTGAAGAGTGGGTGTGTGGGGATGCGTAGGTGAACCAGACTCTGGCCATCTGTCCCCTCTGCAAGCTCCTTCAAGGAGTCCCAGCTCTATTATGTTCTCACCCGCAGTTCTGGATTACAGCCACTAGATGTCGCTGCACAACAGAAAACAAGGTCGGCAGCAACCTGGGACTGCCAGCCCTAAAAAGCCACTTTTTTGTAAGCCCAAGATGCCCAAAGGGGCTATCTAGAACTTCCCTCCCACCTCTCTTCCCTGTACAGGATCCAGCCACACAGAATCTGTCTCAGAACCCAGGCTGAAGGCCACTTTGTATTTGCTGTTTCCTTCCTGGTGGAGAGTCCTCTTTCCCCTCTGCCCGTACAGATTGCCAGACATGGTTGTCAGGTATGTTATCTCACCAAAGCCCCTGACCTTGAGAGTCAGATGTGTCCTCCCAGCTTGCAGAGGCGGAAGCAGGCTCAGAATAGTCCTGCAGAGGACACAGTTTTGAGCTCAGACTCAGAGTAGAGCTTTCTTCCACCCCATCACATGACTGTGTCTGACAGCCTGTGGAATTCCTGTCTTTAACTGTTTGCCTCAACCCTTTGCCTAGGGAACAGGGACATGGCTCAGTAGGTAAAGCACTTGCCTCACAAGCATGAGAGTCTGAGTTTGGATCCCTGGAAACCGAGTATTGTTGTGGAATAGAATAATTGTTTAACTATGTAAAGATGTGTTGTGTTTATTTAGCTATGTAAAGATGTGTTACATTTGTTTATGCTGCATTTGTTTAACTTGTAAAGATATGCGGCTGCTTCACCTTGCCTGCCTAAGGCACCTGATTGGTCTAATAAAAAGCTGAACATCCAATAGATAAGCAGAAGAGGAATGTGGGGGTGGGGGCTGGTGGGTAGAGAGCAAAGGGGAGCTGGCCAGCCTGCCAGAGCCAGCCAGATACAGAGGAAGCAGGAAAGCAGGATGGACAGTATAAAGATGAAGTAAATGAGCAGCACATAGATTAAGAGAAATGGGTTAATTTAAGTTAAAGGAAAAAAGAGCTAGCTAGAAACAAGCCTAAGCTAAGGCCAGGCATTCATAATAATAATAAGTCTCTGTGTCATGATTTGAAGGCTGGCAGTCCAAGAAAGCCTGCTACAACCTATAAAGCTGTGTGTGGAGGAATGGACTTGTAATTCCAACCATGGCAGGATGGGAGACGGAGACAGGCAGATTTCTGGAAGCTCGGGGACCAGATAGCATGACTTATATGGCAAAGTTCCAGACCAGTGAGAGACTGTGTCTCAAACAAAATGTGGAAAGAGCCTGCAGTGGTCAGTGTTCATTGTCAGTTTGACAGGACCGAGCATTTACTGGGAGATGGGCTACAGGGTATGCTAAGGAAGGGTTATTCTGTTTTGTTCTGTTTTTTGATACAAGGTCTGTCCTGCAGGCCTGGCTGTCCTGGAACTCGATATTAGACTAGGCTGACCTCAAACCCACAGGGTTCTCTCTGCCTCTGCCCCTGGATTAACCGATGTGGGAAAATCTATTTAAATTAAGGACACGTCATTTCCTGTCCAAGGGGGGAACCTGGACTGTGTAAAATGGAGGAAGCTAGCTGAACAGTAAGATGTATTCATTCGCTGTTTTCTTAGAGGGTATAGGATTTCCTGGAGCTGGAATTACAGATGACTGTGAGTCACCTGAAGTGGTGTTTTATGAAAGAGCAAGAAGTGCTCTTAACCACTGAGCCACCTCTCCAGACCCTGACCTCTGCTCTCTGGTTGTGCATGTAACGAAACCAGCTATATCAAGCCTCTGTTACCTTGACTTCTCTGCCTTGCTGGGCTGTATGCTTGAACTGAGAGCTGAATAAACCCTTAGCTTGCCTTTTTCAGAGTATCTTGTCAAAACAACAGGAAAAGAAACCAAGACAGTACCTAAGGTCATACACTGAGGCTGCCTTCTGACACGCACATGCATACCATGTTCGTACATACATACGTTTACACACACACACACACACACACACACATGGCATCTCCCTCCAGGGCTGTCCTTAACTCAGTAGATGGCCTTTTCCATGCTTGGCCAATGCTTCGTTTGTGCTGCAACCCACAGGCAGTTGTCACTGTTGTCCCTATCTTCCAGAAAGGGCTGCTAAGGCACACACACCCTGTACCAAGCTTCCTATGTGTTTGGTGGCAAAGCCACGGCCCATGCCACCCAGCTTCAGAACCTGAGCTCAGGCTGTGACCTCTTCCCCAGGGGTGGCGGAGGAGCACTGACTGCTCTGTGCCTTTGTCCGGGGTGTGCCCCACCGATGACCTTCTCAGTCTTCCCATGATTCCTGTGTGGAGTGCCCATGAGCCTCTCTGTTGGCAAGCTGGACCTGCTTGATGGAGGCAAGGCTGAGTGCCCCTGACCTCTGGGCTGAGTCATGACTTTGGAGGGTGAGAATCCGGTGTGCCTCGGTTTGTCCTGAAGCCCTCCTAGATGACGGTCACTTCTGAAGCCAGGGTTTCTCTGTTGGGATATGACGTGCTCATGATCCCTGGTGCTGGTAGGGCTAATGTGATGTGCGGATATCCGAGGCAGGGCAGCCCCTTTCTCT